TTCCTCTTTTTTCTCACATCGCAGTCTTTCAGCAAAACATTTAGGGCTTCCAACAAAATCTGTCTAGAATATGACATTTCTTGGCAATTCCATTGTTGATACCCATCTCTTACTCAAGTTGTTATGATAGCATCTTAAGAGATCCTTTTATTCTGCTCTTGACCTTCCCTATGGTCTCCAGCAGGATACGGAAATTCATTACGCTTGAAAAAGCATTGATAGCAAGGAGAGAGTTTCAGAGAGAGAGGTAGTGACAACTCTGAAATTGCATGTGTACAAAGGTGCTTTGTAAGTTTATGAAACAAAGCAAGTGTGTACTATAATATCGTGAGGATCTATTTCTATTCTCCATCATGCCTTAGACATGGGATCATAGCATAATATCCCTGGAACTTGGAGGTGTGTGTGTGATGTAGCCTGGATGTGGTGGATTCATTGACTGCCTATGGATGTTAACCATTTACATCTCACATGGGCACTCTATCCTTTACGTAGTCTGTCTTTCTGTTGCTATATCTGAATGCCATAAACTGGGTAATTTACAAAGAATAAAGGTTTGTCTTGACTGTGGTTTAGAGGCTGGAAAATCTTAAGTGTGTGGTACTGGTATCTGCTCAGCATGTGAGAGAGCCTCCTTGATGGGTCTTGGCACATTGGAGGACATCTTGTGGTGAGACAGAGTAGAGGTGTTACCTGGATTTTAACTTCTCCTTTTAAAGCCATTAATGCCATCATAGAGATTCTACCCCTCGTGACCTCATCTAATTCTAATTATCTCCCATAGGCCTCACCTCCAAATACCATTAACATGTGACTTTGGAGGGTTTAAGCCTCCAGTACATGAAATTTGTGGGACACAATTAAACTGAAGCCCTCTTCCTCCACCTAAACAGTGTAGTAGTTGAACTTGAGGGCAGAAGAGGTCTTATCAGTTATAACACAAGCTTTTTTCTGTGGACCAGGGATTAAACCCAGGGACCCTTAACCACTGAGCCATATCTCCAGCCGTTTTTATTTTATTTTATTTTATTTTTGAGACAGGGTTTTGCTAAGTTGCTTAGGGCCTTATTAAGTTGCTGAGGCTGTGTTTGAATTTGTGATCCTCTTGCCCCAGTCTCCCAAGCTGCTGGTAATATAGGTGTATGCCACTGTACCCAGGTCATGCTTTTTATCAACTATATAGCAAAAGCAGGGAGCCTACCTAAAATTTACATTTGGAAAAAAGTTTTGAAGTGAGAATACTATTAGGCCTATAACTACAGAAAGAGAAGTATCAGTGCTATTCCTTCGCAGAGAAACTAGGTATTTTTAAACTCAATATTTAGCATTTCAAGTTTCTGTTACCTTCTTCATTATCAAAGCTATATGTGTAATAACAAAGAAGAAATGGCTCAGGATGATCTTGCTGAACCCACCAGAGTGCATCCAGTAGAAAGGGCTGCATTGGAATGACAATCAAGGCCAGGATTTCACCTAGCTTGTAATTGGATAATTATACACCGTGTTCTGTGAATACCAATATCAGATCACTTTTTAGTGGTATGTGTTTGCCAAATGATTTGATTGGATTTCTGCCTTTCTAAACTCCTCTGAAACAGGTCAAAAAACAGGGCCCTTGCTAGAATGAGAGCGTAAATGAGTCGTATATAAGCTGGCTACCACATGGCTTTTAAAAGATGGATTCTTTTGCTGGCAGAAGTGAATTCCCTTTGGAAGTGAATTTTACCTTCTAGCATGAAATGGGATAAAATGACAGACTACTTGGAAAGGCCTAAATTTGTATTAATCTTTCAGGGGCTACCAACACAGAGCATTGTATATGTTCACTGTAAAGGGTATAATGGTTCAGCCCTTCCATTTTTTTCCCTAAAGAGTTGTTTAAACATTTATGTTCACTTGATAATACATTGATTTTTGTTTTCTTAGTTTAAAATATCCTAATGTCGCCAGGTAGTAGTGGTACATGCCTGTAACCCCAATGGTTTGGTTTGGAAGGTTGAGGCAGGAGGCTTGCAAGTTCAAAGCCAGCCTCAGCAACTTGGTGAGGTGCTAAGCAATATAGCAAGACCCTGTCTCAAAATAAAAAATAAGAAGGGGTGAGGATGTGGCTCTGTGGTCGAGCTCCTGTGGGTTCAATCCCCAGTACCCAGTGAATAAATTAAATTTCCTAATGTAATTATAAACACGTGTTGGAGTTCACTAGTTTTATGAAAAAATTCTTTATTCCTTTTATAATAACTAGGATAATTACTATGGTTTGAGAATTTTAAAAACCTAGTAATCAGTATGCACATGTTGCTATATAATGTCAATGCAGTGAGAGCTTTGCACCTGGGATTGTAACACACAAATAAATGCACAAAAGGTACTGTTTCTATTACAATAATTTCTATGCTAGCAAGGGAAAATTTGGAAATGGTTCAAAGTTAAGATGAGTAGTTTATGAAGTTGCACTCTGCAATATCTTTATTAGCAGTTCAATACTCATTTTTAAATGCAAAATTTCCCCTAGGTATTTCTGAAATGTTGAGATTTTTAGAAGGTTTGAAATTACTTTGTTCTAGTAATCCCTTGACTAAAAAGTGTTAATGGAAGTTAAGTATGCTGCTAATGCTTCTCTAAAGCAACCAGAGAGTTTATTCATTACTAGTGCAATTTCTGTGCGATGTAGAGTTACTTTCTCATGTACATCCCTTAAATAATGGTAGAGATTACCATTTTGTGGGTAGTTTTATAGTAGTTTCTTTAGTTCAGTTGATCCTGTCAGGCTTGAAACTAGTAAGAGTACCCTCAGATGAATTGAAAAATAAAATCAAGGTCAGAAATAGGAGGTGAGAGCCTCTTCCTTTCCTGTTTCCCACCCTGTTCACTTTCTCTTGGGAACAAGTGGGAACAGATGTAGATGTGTAGAAGCGAAGTGCTGCTTATTTTAGATGGTAAAGGATTATAACTACATTTTGAATAAAATCTTGTTGAGGGAACTGGATATTTTTGGACCTTGATCATTTATTTGCCATTTTGCTGAAATCTGCTAGATAAATTTAGGTATTAAAATGTATGTATTTTTTAACTAGAGGGGATCATTTAGTTGACCTTCATTTTTAAAGGTACAATGTAATAACACATTTACATTTTTAATATTTGAAAAGTGAAAAAGATAAGGCTAAAGAGAGTGGGCAGAGATGGAAGACTTTGATCTGGCAGTATTGTTTTTGGAATCTACAAATATAACAGTGCTGATAGATCTTTTCATTCAAAGGAAGAATCATTTTGGATGTTGTCCTCAAATCTAGATAAGTGAATTGTTTAAATCATCAGAGGGTGGAAGAACCATATTTTATTTTTTTAAGTTGCTCTAAGCCATAGTACAAATATTTCCTCTTCTGGAAATAACTGTTTAGATTATAGGAATATTTGCCAAATATTTTTCAGTTTCCTAAAAATTGTAATTCTCTATATAATTTTTTTAGTTTATGTCTCTGCTTATTATTGCTTACCATTTATTGCTATTTTTATTTCATTAACAGCTCTAATAATTATAATCTCAATGCTATAAACAGTAAGGTGTCTAAGGACTGGAACTATTCCCAAGATCATAAAGATGTAACTCTGCTTTGTGCTATGAATTGAGCATTCAATAAAATTGTATTTTAAGTGATATCCAGGATTCTTATTTAGAGTGGTGTACCTACTGTGCAGCTCTTAAGACCTCAGGGCCACAAAGGGCCCTGGAGTCAGAACAGAGACTGAAATGCTTCATCCTTGTTCATGGGGAGGAGAATGGGAATGTCAGGCAGTGAGAGGGTTAGATCCTGTGCAGTGAGGAAAGCAGGAGCCATTGTGAGAGTTCTACAGCTTCTAGGACCCAGGACCTGCACACAAAAGGTTTGACCTGGAAGAGGTATAGGGAGTTCACGCTGTCCAGTGCTTTTCCAACTGTGGGACTAGCTCCTGGGTTTGGGCCTCGAGGGTCCACGGGGAGGGGAGAAGAAAGTCAAAGCAGTGAGACTTCTGATCCACACCCAGCATCACCAGCATGTTTCTGCTTCCTAAAATATCTTTTTTATATTTGATAAACATATTTTACTGCTAAATTTAAAAGTTTGAAGACCACTATGTTGACCACACACACACACGCACACGCACACGCACACGCACACGCACACACACACACACACATTGCTACAGTAGATCTCAACATTTTTGGCTCCTATATACAGTGCCCTATTGGCTCCTAATCCAACCAGATTAAGGACTAAATGACCTGAACTACTAATACAAGATAGGTGAAACTCTTCCTACCAAGTCTAGTAATGCTGTTTTGTAGAGATTAGGTTACATGGAGCTTTGAGGGTTTTAGTCATCTGCAGAAGTCTTGAATCACATGCAAGGAATGGATGGTCCTTTGAAAGATGAAAAATCAAACCAGAGTTTACACTGTCTGTTATTTTTTATTTTTATTTTTTGAGTATAGTAAGTTGAAGATGTGGAATTGAAGCTAAAATATGGAATTGAACAATTAAAATTAAAGTAGTTATATTTATTACTGGACAACTTGTTTTATTTGATAGACCTGCTGCTAGGGAAGTATATCTTTTCTTTGATGTGGTGGACATTTTTAACATTAGAATGGCTCACATTATTTTGTTAAAACCATCTTCAAGCTTTTTATTTCATGATTAATGTTGAGAAATACTATTTTTTTTAAAAAAATGTGTGATTTCTGAATTGATTAACATGCTTCTTAATCTAGAATCCTGATTGAGCTGAATTTGTTTGGTAGTTCTTAATCTGTTTTCATTAACTTAGCTGTTGTGAGAAAAAGCCCCATGGGAAGAACAAAATTAGCTTAGTAATTTTGCTCATTCATCTATGAGTATATAACATGACTGTTTTCATTTCTGTTGTTTCAGTAGATATGAATCAAAAACAAATAACATTGTCTGAGTAAGTCTGTCTCTTGTCACTCTGAAATCTTTTGTCTATCTGTTTTCTTCTAGGTGAGGAATTTTAAATTGGAACAGGAACAAGAAAAAACCAAAATTTTGTCAGAAGCACTGGAGACTCTAGCCACTGAACATCATGAATTAGAGCAGTCTCTGGTGGAAGGGTCTCCGCCTCTCAGCATCCTTAGTGAGGACGAGTTCTATGATGCACTGTCAGGTAACTGGAATCCTTTCATCTCTGTTGGGGGTGATTTATAGTCCACCATCTAAATGTCGTGTTAGCATGTTGTTACCTGGAGTTTCCCAGAATAAACACATGGATAAATATTAGTATAGTTCTCCAAACTGCAATTTTTTTGTGTGTCATATAAGTAAGGAAAGGCTTGGTATAAAATTTATTACTGAGTCTGCCTAGTATATGCTATACTAGGATTGGAGTGCTATTAAAATGAGACATATTTGGCTTATTCCTTTGTTCAGTGACCATTTATTTAATACTTCCTGCTGCCAGGTGCTATCACATGTTCTAAGAAAGATGGACAGTTTCAAAGAGGTCGAAGAGTGAAGGATACAGATGAGTAACACTTGGTTACAGTTCAGTATGCTTAGTGCTGAAGTAGAGATGAGTCCTTGATATAGCTGGAGCAGGCAAAAGGAAATGCTTCACTTTGACTCAGAAACACATGCATAGCCTGCCTGCAGTGAGTGTGGACTTCAAGTCCTCTAGCGCTGACCAACTTGGTCACCTGGGGCAAGCTTCATGACCTCTCTGGTTCTGAATTTCTACACACTTAAAATGGAGCAATTGTAATATCTATTTTAGTACTTTAAGGATTAAATGAGTTCATATGTGTAAATAGTGCTTAGAATAGTGCCTGGTAGTACTGGCACTAAAAACTTAGAGCTATAGGTGGAGAGAGGAAGACAACCTAGAAGAGGAAGTACCAAGGAAATTTAAACTTGTAGGAATTGATTTTAGAAGTTCTGAGACATATGTAGGTGGGGAGGAGAAGCAAATATAGAGGGAAATAGTTGGAGATCAGTGAAATAGAGAAAAATTATTTTATTGACGGAAATTAAATTCTTGTGTAACAAGTGAATATACTTAAATATGGGTTTCATAAAACTTGTCCGTGAAATCAGAAAACCTTTGTGTATGTGAAGTGAAGGATCAAATTCATAATAGGAAATGAAAGAGAGGAACCATGGTGAGAGAGAGAGTGGAAATAAGAACTAAAGAAGATTAGGCTCAGGAAGGTAAAGAAGGGTATGAGAATATAGGACAAGGAAAGGGGGTTGGTAGGGTGTAGACTTAATAGAGGAGAGATCATTATATAAAACAGAAGCAAATGGCAGCACCATTGGCAGAGGTATGGCAGAATTAAAACAAGAGGAAAACATAATGTTAATAGCCAAATTTCATAATAGAGAAAGATGATGGTGGTGGTGGTGGTGTCAGTTAAATATGAAACAGTGACTCCTACTAGGAAGGCAAAGAAAGATTGACAAAGTAGTCTACATGACTGGGAGGCTGGAAGGTAGCCGACACTGAAGACTGCTGAAATTTATTATACATAACACTGTGTCACATCCGTTGGTGTTATGTCATGTACTCCTTATGTAAGGGCCCCCAAAAGGAAGTCATTAAGAAGTTTATGGGATTAAATGCATTGAGGTCTGAATATAAAAGATCTCAGGTTCTTCCACTGCTTATCTTTGTTATTCTTAAAAACAACTTAATGTTATTTTATTTAAAAACCCCCTTGTTTAAGGTATTTTTCTAGTATGCACAAGATCCTGGGTCCCATCCCTGGTACTACAAACAAAACAAAGCATATTATTTGTTATAAATAATTCATTATAATAATACCAAGCCCAGTGACATTCTCCCTAACTGATCACACACTCTGTGTCAGAAGTTCTTGTTAATATCCTGATATGTTCTCTTCTAGATCTTTGTTAAGCATTCACTTGTATATATATTTTTGTGTACATAAGCCTTTTTTTTTTTTAAAGACGTACGTGGAAGTAGCTGTTTAATTGCTCTGGGTCAGCTTTTTCAACTTGTTTTAGAAGTCTTTCCCATCTTTATTATAGCTCTAGCATGTTCTTTTAAAGGTTTTGTAAGGCCATACCTCTTTGTAAAGGCCTCAGTGTCATTGTACCACAGTTTCCTTAACCATTCTTTTTTTGATAGACATTTTTAAGCTACTGTTACTTTTCTTCTTCATAGTAATATTTTAACATTTTTCTCCACAATTATCTCCTCTGGGAGGAAGAGATAAAAAGAACTGCAGTCTTTAAGTCAGGATTGACAAGTCATTTCCATATCAAGAGCCAATTCACATTGTTTAGTGCCATTTGCTACTTCATGGATTGCTGTGTTGAGAAAGCTTCTGATGTGGAGTCCAAGTGCCTAGACTAATCTGCACATTCTACCACAGCCATAGGAAATGTCCTAAGGTCCCCTGAATGACCACCTGTGTTTTGTTTTATTTGTCTAAACTTATGTGGCCTTCCTTGTTTACCACTAAAAATATTGGGAATCATTTGGGATATTATAGAAAGTGAATTAAACTGAAGGGTTAGATGCCTTCAGTTCAAATTCTTTACCTACTGTTTACCTAGCCACATAATTCATTGAGATCATAATGGCCATCATTTGGGAATGGCTTTGTCTTCTCACCACAGTATTTAGACATTGACCTCTGTTCCCACTTCCTCCTTCATTTCTATTAAAGAAGAAGAAATGTTTCCCTGTAACTAAGATCATTCCTTCTGATACTGCTTCCTTGTGCCTTCCCAAACAGACTTGTTCAGTTATTGCTTCATTTACTTAGACTTTACATATCATATAACTTTAAATACTATCTGGTATGGTTTGAATTGGGAATGTCTCCCAAAAGCTCATATGTTGAAGGCTGGTCCCCAATTCAGCAATGTCCAGAGGTGGGACTTTTGGGAGATGATTGGATCATGAAGGCTCTGACCTCATCAGTGGATTAATCTACTGATGTACTAATAATTTATGGCATTATTGGTAGAACCTGTAAGAGGTGGGGCCTAGTTAGAGGAAGTAGGTACTTGGGCACATACCCTAGAAGAGTATATCTTATCCTTGGCCCCCTCCTCTCTCTGCTTCCATGCTTTCATGAGCTGAGCAGGTTTCCTCCCCCATGCCTTTCCACCTTGATGTTCTGTTCCTTGTCCTTCCCTTTTGGTAGCACCCTTGTGGTAACTTTGAGTTCAAACAAATAATCCAGGATAATCTTCCCCATCTTAAGATTTCATTTAATCAAATCTGCAAAGTCCATTTTACCATGTAAGATAACATACTCACAATTTCTGGAATAAGGGCCTGGATATCTTTGAGATAACCATTATCTTGACTACCACAACCCTGACCTCTTGGTAGAGACATATACTGAGCTGTCAGCTTCATATATGAAAGATGAATTCTTAGTCTTCCTCTCAGATGCTGTTTTTTTCTGGGATTGGCCTCATTTAAGTGACTCCTCTTTCATTTCCTGCAGGCAGAAACTGGAGGTCGATTCATGACATTTGTGTGCCGATTCAGGAAAACACAGTCCAAGGCCTGTCTGTTCTATCTTACTATCATCCCTTGAATTTATCTTTGTTCTGTTAATCTAGGGCAATGGTTAAAGTCTAGGTCTTGGGGCTGGAGGCTGTTGGCGAATCATAGTTCTACCCATTCTTATACCCTTTGAAAAGTTAATTCAATTTTCTATGCATCATTTTTTCATGATCAAATGTGTCATAGGATTATTATAAGTAATAAATATTTGTAGTGTACTTAAAATAGTACTTAGTACACTCAGGGGTTGACATATGTGAGCTCTCTTTGTTACCTGAGGTATGGCTAGTTGTTTTTTTTAAATTTCTCTAATTTTTTTTTATTTATATATGACAGTGGAATGCATTACAATTCATATTACATATATAGAGGACAATTTTTCATATCTCTGGCTGTATACAAAGTATATTCACACCAATTCGTGTCTTCATACATGTACTTTGGATAATAATGATCATCACATTCCACCATCATTAATAACTCCATGCCCCCTCCCTTCCTCTCCCACCCCTCTGCCCTATCTAGAGCTTATCTATTCCTCCCATTCTCCCCCTCCCTACCCCACTATGAATCAGCCTCCTTATATCAGAGAAAACATTTGGCATTTTGCTTTTGGGGATTGGCTAACTTCACTTAGCATGAACTGATCTTGGCTTCTAGCTTTGCCCCATTGAACTTCATTCCTTACAGTCATCCACAACAACTCTTTTGTAGATGATACATTGTCGCTTTCCCCACCTACAGTCTTTCTCATGGTACCATGAATAAGATCCAGCCACCCCAGCAGGCTGCCTACAAGGCTCTTAACATGATCCAAACCCTGCCTGTCTGTTCATATCCATCTGTCCTCTTATTCCCCCACTCACACAGTCCACCCTAGTCTTTAGCTAGGCCTCAAAAGCAGCCATGGCACTAGGCAATTGGATATATAGCTAAATGAGAGCAAGCAAAAGTAGTCAAAGCTATATCTCATTGGAAAGTTAATTTTAATTCCTATAATCACAATAATGGATTAAATCAAGCCTGTCCTCATATTGAGAATATATGAAAAAGTACTTAAAGATACTTCTCTTAAAATATTTGAAACTTGGGGGTTGGGGCTGGGCCTCAGTGGTAGAGTGGCTGCCTTGCATGTGTGAGGAACTGGGTTCAATCCCCAGTATCACATAATAATAAATAAAGATATTGTGTCCATCTACAACTAAAAAAATTCTTAAAATCTTTTCACTAAATGTTCAATCTTCTTTTAAAATGTTGCCAACTTGTGTCACTTCCTTTAAAAGGATAATTTTATTTACCTAGATTGAAAGTCCATGTGATTTCCTGTTTTCCTTTATCATGTTCCTTTAAGCTTTTTTCAGACAAGCAGGATCAATGGAAATCTACTAATATGGTGGGTAAGACAGACCTTGATGCCAAGCTAACAGTGTAATATAATAATTTTTCCAGCCCTTTGGGATCTCTTGAGAAAATCATTTTTTTTCCACTGTGCTCGGTGACTAAAGATTTCATGAAATTCCATGAAGCAAACAGATTGCTTTCTCACAATTTGCATTTCATTGTGTAAAACATTTAAAAGAAGATACATTTAACAAAGCATCACATTTTGTTTTCATTTTGTGTGTGTGTGTGTGTGTGTGTGAGTGTGTGTGTGTGTAAGGAATGAAATAGTTATGTCAAGCAAAATTTCAAATATAACTAAATGAACACTTTCTTGGAAAAGAGCTAAATGTTCATGCATATTGAAACAAAAGGATTTAACAAGAAACAAATGCTAACTAGAGTTTTCTGTAAAAAAAACTTCATTTTGCCAGCAAATAAAGACACTTTATGGAAGAAAAAAAGTGATTCTATTCACATATTTCTACCTAATTAGTTTCATTTTTTTTACTATCTCATCTCTACCAAAGCTCTCAAATATCTTTCAAATATATCCTTTCCTAGACAGTCATCCCTCAGTCCTCCAAATAGAGTTCATTCCTTTCTTTATTCCTTTAGTTTATATCTCTTTAATAGCCTTATGTTGTGTTGTACTTGTCTGTTTGGGATGGGAAGGACCATATACATTGACATTCCCTAAAATGCTTAGCGCAGGATCATTTTCCACTCTCTAAAAGCTTGGCCAATGAATATAGGTTGTTGAATTAATGTCATTGATATTTCTGTCCTCCTTGAAAATATTTGGTAATCAATACAGATACAAGGTTATCAGTGGTACTTGCTGATTCCATGCATCAGTGGGGTAGGTGTGGATGAGTGGCAAAGGAAGAAGAAAGGATGAGATGATATCAAAGATTAAACTTGCTCAAGGAACTTGCAATCAAATTGGATCTATGAGACCTCATAGAGGGGCAAAGAAAAACTAAGGGAGAAAACTAAAGATTCATGACTGTACAAGTCTCTGGTAATCATCTAAGGAATTATCTTTTAAATATTTATCACCAGTTAAATGATTTTATGGCAATTATTTTTAAGTACTGATACTAGTCTGAGATAGCAGTTTTGTGGAAAATTCCTACCCTGTGAATATTATAAGTTCAAAATGTTTTTCTTCCTGTGTGCTCAATTTCCATTTTAGAAACATGTTGAGATCAGTTGCTTAAGAAAAGCTTTCTTGCTAGGTTTTCTTCTTAATGCTATTTTGGTTGAAATATGCATGAATAATGCATAAAATCCAATAATGTAGACTGGCAATACCAATAGATGGTTATGACATGAGGCTGAAGGCAGCTTTAGCATTTTTCAACAGGGCATATCTTTTAAATTATGTCTTTTAAAATCAAAACTTTCAAAGTGGAAGGTGGTAATGTAAGAAGTTTGGTTTTGTGTGGAGGAAAGTGACATGGGAACAGTTTTGAACTATGTTAGAATTTAATCCAATAAATGCAACAGATGATAGCTGATAAAAATTAATAACAGCTATAGTGACAGTTTACATATAGAATATACAGGATTTGATGAAGGTCATAAGTTTTATTGGTAAGAACTCAAAAGTCCATAAAGACCATTTAGTAAGACTTTGTTCATACAGTCCAGTATTCTCTCCTGTAGTTGTTTTTAAAATAGCTGTATATTTGTATCTGTAACTTTCCCAAGTCTTTTTTCTATACTCTGGACTATCTAGTAATTTGTATTTCCCCTGTTGCTTAGCAGAAAACAGGTTAATTGGTTGATATATAACATTGAGTACCAGAGAATATGACTTTACTATGTAGCATGTGGTACAATATATGTAGCATGTGGTACAATATATGTAGCATGTGGTACAATATTCAGAACAGGTCTCAAGAGCAGTGGAAGGGGCTCTTCATCTAGTTTGTTTATAGTATTGAAAACTGATCTAGCAGCTTACTCATACTGGTGTGTATGTGTGTGTGGAAAGGTACAAACTAGTAAATGAATGTAATTTATCCTTTAAGTTTTGGGTTGACTTTATGGTTCATTATCACTTTTAAAAATGTTTTATTGACTAATGCTTCTATTAATGTTCATTATAAAACCATGTATATTTAGTATTGTCCTAATGCTATTAAGAAGGTCTCATTAATCGAAAATACTTTTTGAGTGCAGACTATGTGCCAGATGGTTTGTTAGGCCCAGGGATACTAAGATAATTAGATAAAGTCTCTGAAGTCAGTGGGTTTGTGGGCAAGCTAGGAGGAGAGACAGGCATGGAAGATAATCATGTATAATGTGATGAGGTGTCTGGTCCTCCAGTCCACTATAGTTCCTCCCAAGATCAGATCCAGAATCTCAGTAACTACATCCCCTCTGTAATCCCAATTTTATTCAACCCACAATCTAACTACTATCTTCTGTCTTTTGACCCTCTCTCTCTAAAACCCTTACCTGACATTTCTTTGGCCTCACCAATACATGTTCTCCATGTTTTCACTGTTAGTCTTGTGTCCTCCCCTTCCTCCTTGCCTGGATTAGATTTCATGGAGTGATTACTTTCATTCCTGACTCTCCCTACATTCAACTCACCAAGCAGAACTCCAGCCTCTTCTTCCCCTTCCATGCCAATTCCCAAGCAACTAGCTGAGACTGGAGTCAAGTATAAGCCCCTGCTGATATCTCCTTCAGCTCCATGGTTGTTAATGTCTGCTGAATCTGTTTTGCTGCCCAGCAGTCCATTTATGTTTTTCTAGTTAGTTCATTCTACACACTTGCTTCATACTTCTGCTCTCTTCTAAAATTTCTAATACCTTCTCCTCCTCTCAGCTCCACTCGAGGACATTGTTTATGTCACTGAGAAATTTTTCTTTACCACTGCCAAAGCCTCACAGGCAAGTGTATCCCTATATTCTGCCTCTGTACTTTATAGTGAAGAATACTTTGTCCCTAACTGAAACCAACTCCTCTCTTTGTGCCCCTCTCACTCACAGAGGGACATTATGCAGTTCCTTTTCTCCCCAGGAACCAATCTGTCCTTGTCCCCAGCAGTATATTTATAAAAACAACCCCACCATCAACTTGACGCCACGTCACTTTCCCCTCCTGTCATTCTTCTTGAACACCCTCTGTATGTTTGTTCTTGCTGTGGCACTGCAGTTTCTCTCACCTGGGCCTTCAGTGTCCTATGTTGCCTATTGATGTGGTCCTTTCTCAGTACTCTTCTTGTGCTCAGGCTATGATCATTGAACCTCTTCTCTCTTCTTTCTATACTGACTCTCTAGATCTTTTGTACTCAAAGTATGGTCTCTGGAATAGTAACATCGACATCACCTGGAGCCTTGAAAATGCAGAATCTCAGGCACCAACACACACCTTGCAAATAAGAATCTGCATGTTTACAGATCCCTAGGTAATTCCAGAACACATCAAAGCCTTTGCAGCATTGCTTTGGATGACTTCATCTTATCCCATGCTTTTAAATATAGTCTACATTCTGGTAACTCCCAACAATTTTGTATCCCCATTCTCATTCTTCTCCCTGCATTAAGACTCATATCTAAATATCTATGTATTCATTTAACTGTCTGATTGGATCTCCCA